AAACCCCTCTCAGTTTTGTTGCTAGAGTCTCAAACCCCTCTCAGTTTTGTTGCCAGAGTCCCAAAACCTTCTCAATTTAGTTACTGGTGTCTCAAACCACTCTCAGTTTTGTTGCCAGAGTCCCAAAACCTTCTCAGTTTAGTTACTGGTGTCTTAAACCACTCTCAGTTTTGTTCTGGTGTCTCAAACCCCTCACAGTTTTCAACATTTTTCAGTCAGGTCATCTGGACAGTTTTTTTTTTTTTTTTTTTTTGTGCTGAAACGTTTCGCCTTCAATCCGGAAGGCTTAATCAGTCAAGGGAACACACAACACAAAACTGATTCTTCCCCCAACAGCTTACTCCAAAGTGGAACAAACCAGTTTTGTTGGTGATAAGATGGTCTCTTTGGTACGTACGCTCCCTCCTCCATTGCCGGCCCTCTTCCTTGTTGACAGTCGTGTCAAGCTGGTTGAAAACAACAAAGTCAACCTAAAATGCACTGCAGCAAACACCTTGAAGCTGGAAAATTGGAAAATATTTGCAGAGTCATCACAGGCGTCTGGGGCCCATCTTGATATAGTTTCTGTAGTTCTAGAGCTCTGGAGATGTATTTTTTGTCTGGAGGTCCTGGCCCAAATCTTGTGCTCAGCACAAAAAAAAAAAAAAAAAAAAAAACTGTTCAGATGACTTGACCGAAAAATGTTGGATTGTATACCTGGATTATTGAGCATGGACTTTGTTCCCCTCTCAGTTTTGTTGCTGGTGTCTCAAGCCACTCTCAGTTTTTATTACTTGTGTCTCAAACCCCTCTCAGTTTAGTTCTAGTGTCTCAAACCCCTCTCAGTTCTTTTGCTGGAGTTGAAAAACCCTCTCAGTTTTGTTACTAGAGTCTCAAACCACTCTCACTTTTGTTGCTGATGTCTCAACCCCCTCTTTGTTTTGTTCTGGTGTCTCAAACCACTCTCACTTTTGTTGCTAGAGTCTCAAACACTTCTATTTTGTTGCTGTTGTCTTTGACCCATTCCAAGACCATTAGAGCTGCATTTTATCCTCTGAACAAGAGCAGTCCTCCACTTTCCTGATGGGACAATGTCAGAGTCTGCAGAGCTGAACATCCAGGTCTAAAACTCTGCAGATGATAAATATAATTCTTACAAAACTGGTCCAAACCAGCCTATTGTCATTTCTAAGATGTACTGCAGCAAACTTCAGGCCTCTCTTGTAAATGAGTCCCCGAGGCTCAATGGGATTAACCTGTCTAAATAAAGGTTGAATGAATGGAAGAAAAAAAATAAAATAAATTGAATTCATTCAGGTTTGTTTATATGGTGCTGGTCACTGCTCGCTGGTCACGTCACAACACTCAGTAAAACTGGAACGGAAAATTTGCCTCATGTAATATTGAGTTGCAACCAAACAGGCAAAGGTCAATTCTGAATCACACGTTTGCAAGAAGTTAAAGATTTGGGCCAGGACCTCCAGACAAAAAATACATCTCCAGAGCTCTAGAACTACAGAAACTATATCGAGAAGGGTCCCAGACGCTTGTGATGACTCTGCAAATATTTTCCAATTTTCCAGCTTCAAGGTGTTTGCTGCAGTGCATTTTGGGTAAACAGCTGTCCTCTGGTCTGGTTTTGTCCCATAAGTCTTGGGTCTTGTGGTTCCTTCAGATGAAACTTTCCAAACCTAAGTCGTGCTGTGTTGTTTTTAGAAAGAAGAGGCCATGACCTTTGACCTGCAGCATGAGGCCTGTAGAGTCTGAGCATTGTGCAGTCTGACCTTCAGGGTGAATCTACTGTGAATATTGTCAGCTGTCTTAAATGCTGTTCACTTGTAAATAATCTTTCTCTCTGTAGAATGATGGACTCCAAATGATCTTTGACCCTTCCCAGATTGACGGGCAGTGTCAGCTGCTGCTCTGAGGTCATTGCTGATGTCTTTCCATCCTGGTGTTGTATTAATCTACACCTTTATGCTCCAGAGCAGCAAACACATAAAATGTCTGATTTAAACCCCCAGAATTAAAGGATGGGTGGACTTTTCAGAGTCAGTTTCTGCCTCGTATAGCTGACGTTTCACCTAAATGAGCATCAGTCTGTTGTTTTCTGGATCCAGCTGATGATCCGGGCCCAGCAGCCTGATGTTCTGATCTCCTGTGGAGGGTTTCTCTCTTCCCGGACCGTGTCGGCAGCGGCAGACATTGATTTTTGTTAAAAGCAGAGGAGATGGATTATAGATGGGCTGCAGGAGAAGAGCTGAGGACTCGTGACGTTGGAGTTTGCTTCGACACAAACACACAAGGGAGAGCTGCACGTTGGAAACATTACAAACGCAACGTAGGGGTGTGTGAATGCATCACAGAGCTGTTAATGAGTCATTTAAACCTCTGGTTTCACTCTGCCGGGGTAAAGTAATGAAGCAATTTGTTTCTGAGTCACGTCGCTGAAACGCTTCAACCAAACACAAACTCTAGGTGCAAACTTTTCTCTCTTTTTTTTCCCAATATACGGTAACTTAAAAAAAAAAAAATATTCAAATCAGACTTTATGGTCTTTTACCAAAGACATTCACTTAAATCAAAATATTTGCAGCTTTGTGTTTTGGCTTCACGTTTAAGGAAACTTTAATCCAGACAATAAAGACAAAACTTATCATGCGTCTCTGAATTTTTTCTCGTTTCTTATATAAAAAAAAAAGATTAAACATTTTAACTTTTCACTCTTCTCAGTTAGACTGAAGTCTGGACGTTAACTGGACCAGTCCTGGACCTTTACTTGGTCCCCTTAAACCAGTGGAGCGTTTTCAAACCAAAACGTTCCCACAGCATGATGCTGCCACCACCTTGCTTCTCTGAAGGGTTGGTGTTCTCAGCCTTATGAGTCCCCCAAGCATGCACCACTTTTCAGTTTCATGTTTTAAAGACAATAAAAACGGCTGATTACATCAACTACAATAATCTGGAGTATTGTTTGCAGTTTTATTACTTTAATAAACTTTAACTCAAAGTTTTAAGGTAAGAAAATAAACAGAACGTTAGTATGAAGGTTTAACACGGCATAATTAAATTAACTGAACTTTTAAAGTTAAAACAAGCCAAACTGTAGCAAATAAACAACTTTTGCTAAACCACAGCTAAAATCAAAAATACTGAAATGGTAGCCAAAGCCTAAATGTGGCAAAACATTCATAATAGCTTAAATTAGCAAGAGCTAAGAGCTAATTATAACTAAATGGTAAATGTAAGAAAACGGTTCAAAAACCGCAGCTCAAAGCTGTGACTATCAAAACTGAAATAAAAGGGAGGTTTGTCTTGGTTTTTAATAGTACTATTATTTTATTGATATTTTACTGCAAATTTTATCATACTTTTATTTTTTAATAAACTTAATTTTATTTATTTATTATCATTTTTTTTATCTATAATGTTGTAATTCTTGTGATTCACTTTGGTCAGCTGCGGTTGTTTTTAAATGTGCTATATAAATGAACTTTGAATTGAATTAAAAAAAGGTAAATAGTAGCTAAACGTCAAATTCAATGCAAGTGAAGAAAAATAAGCTTTTAAGTAAAAAGTCAAAACTTTTTTAAAGCAGCAAACTAATTCGCACTAAGACTTTGCAATTGTTTTA